CCCCGACGGGACCGGGCCACAGCGCAGTCCACAGTCCACTCACGGGTGGCAGTGTCCCATGCTGCGGGTACTATCCCGAATCCCTGACGACCCCGACGGGACCGGGCCACAGCGCAGTCCACAGTCCACTCACGGGGGCAGTGCCCCACGCTGCGGGTACTATCCCGAATCCGACGACCCCCGACGGGACCGGGCCCGCAGCGCGGTCCACAGTCCACTCACGGGTGGCAGTGTCCCACGCTGCGGGTACTATCCCGAATCCCTGACGACCCCCGACGGGAACCGGGCCGCAGCGTCGGTCCACAGTCCACTCACGGGTGGCAGTGTCCCACGCTGCGGGTACTATCCCGAATCCCGACGACCCCCGACGGGACCGGGCCGCAGCGCAGTCCACAGTCCACTCACGGGTGGGCAGTGTCCCACGCTGCGGGTGCTATTCCCGAATCCCTGACGACCCCCGAGGGACGGGCCGCGGCGCGGTCCACAGTCCACTCACGGGTGGCAGTTCCCACGCTGCGGGTACTATACGAATCCCTGATGACCCCCGACAGGACCGGGCCGCAGCGCAGCCCACAGTCCACTCACGGGTGGCAGTGTCCACGCTGGGGTACTATCCCGAATCCCTGACGACCCCCGACTGGACCGGGCCGCGGCGCGGTCGACAGTCCACTCACGGGTGGCAGTGTACCACGCTGCGGTACTATCCCGAATCCTGACGACCCCCGACGGGACCGGGCCGCGGCGCGGTCGACAGTCCACTCACGGGTGGCAGTGTCCCACGCTGCGGGTACTATCCCGAATCCCTGACGACCCCCGACGGGACCGGGCCGCGGCGCGGTCGACAGTCCACTCACGGGTGGCAGTGTCCCACGCTGCGGGTGCTATTCCCGAATCCTGACGACCCCCGACGGGGACCGGGCCGCGGGCGCGGTCCACAGTCCACTCACGGGTGGCAGTGTCCCACGCTGACGGTCACGATGCCGCCGAACAGGTCCAGGTAGCGTCGGCCGGTGTGGTCGAACAGGTACTGCATGTGGCCCTGGTGATGATCACCGGCCGCCGGAAGGAGGCCAGCAGCGCCGGGCTCAGGTGGTCGCGGCGCACGCGGCTCACCCGCTCGGGGTCGGGCCCTGCCGGCCGGTCGGGCGCGCCGGTTAGCGCCGGCTCACTGGGGGCCTCCACAGCGGACCCGGCCGCTGGCTCAGCACACGGGCCGCGGCGGTCCATAGGTGTCCGTCCGAGTCAGTCACAGGCTCCGCTGAGCCGCGCCGGCGGGGGTTAGCAGCACCGCATCAACGGGTCATGAACAGGTCGCACAGGGGCGCGGATGGAGGCGGGGTCACCGCCTCAGCGACGGGCAGCC